TGGTTCTCATTCTAGACATCCCAAGTCAGAATCAGGAGAGGGTCCAATGATCTACATTTTTAATAAATACTTCAGGTAATTAATGATTGAGCATTAACAACAATGGTAATTTATCTTATTCTCTCCCCACTTTCTTTTATGTATAGGGTCTTATTAAATTGTGATCTGCCTGACTCAGCCTCTCAAGTAGTTGGTACTACAGGTGAGCACCACCAGGCCCAGCTTTTTAGAGTGGGTTAAGAATCAAACTCATGAGATGACCAAGTAGCAGTATCTACCAGTGTGTGTTACTGTGACTGGGCCTTATTTCTCTCTTTGTATTAAATACAGGATCCATGTCATATCTGATGCCTGTAACATTCTTCCTTTCAGTGATTTTCTGTGATATGCATGAGTTATGCATGCTCACATTGAAACTAATGTCCTAACTGACCTTTGCCACTACACATGCGTGTGTGCGCATGCACACACACACACACACACACACACACACACACACTTCTTTTTCAAAGTACCCCACTTCAAATTGGAAGTTCTGGATAAATAGAAGGTATAGTCACTAGTTGAAAGAACTAGTCTAGTGGAGATGAAGGACACACAGACAAGCCCATGATTCCTAATATTCAACAGGCTTATAGATAGAAAATAGAATTTATTATCAAGTCCAAGGCATGTATAAACTATATCTGATAGAGTCAAGGTAGCTTAACAGAGAAATGTCATTTTTAAGTTGCATATTAAGAGAACTCAGACAGGGATGAGGGAACAGAATTACAAGTATAAACAAGAGTTTGCAAAACATGGAGGCACAAAATTACAAGATGTTCAAGCATATCCAAAAGAGGAGATTTTAATTTCCAGTGACAAGAAAGGATGTGCTAGATAAAGGACATTTTTTTCTTAAGCCTGAAATGATAAAAATGGTGCATCTTCTGTTTTTGAAGAGGTGTATCAGTACCATTTACACTCACAGTAATTTATTCTATGCTGCATAACTGTATAGTCTGAAAGTTTTAGTGAGCTGGGTACTGTTTCCAACTTCTTGAACTCTTCTGCCAAATCCCCAGTAAGTTCAAAACTTAATTATCAACTATCTTAGTCCATTTGGGCTGTTATAACAAAATACTATAAATTGGGTAGCTTATAAACAACAAAAATTTATTTCTCAAAGTTTTGGAGGCTAGGCAGTTCAAGATCAGGGCACTGACAGATTCAGTGTGTGATGAGGACCCATTTTTAAATAAATAACACCTACTCACTCTGTCCTAACATAGTGGAAAGGGCAAGGGGGTCTCTCAGTCCACTTTAATAAGGGCACTAATTCCATTTCTGGCACTTCTCCCGTGATCTTATCATCTCTCAAAGGCCCCACTTCTAATACTATTACCTTGGAGATTTGCATTTCAACACGTGAAGTTCAAGGGGACATAAAACATTTAATCCATTGCATTATTTCATCATCATCTCTGCTAAGACATGGTCCTCCTGTAGTTCTTATTGTGATTAATGGTAATTTATTCAATAGATCCTAGGGGAAATTCCAGAACTGTTTAAAAATTTTTCCTGGGCCATCCCCGTGGCCTAGTGGTTAAAGGAGCTGGATCCTACATGGCCAACAGCGTTTCAAATTGCTGGCAGCATGAACAGCACATCGGGTGCATGTGCATGCATGCCTCCAAGTCCCAACAGGATGGAGAAATGGAGGAAAAGGGATTATATTAGGTTATTAGGAAAGTCATGATGCATTCTGCTATGCTTTTCTTGATGCTTGACCATATCCCCCATGAGGGTAGTGCTTTCTCTGTCGCCCTCTTTCTCTGTCTCTGGAGTGCACATGTGCTTTCTGGCGATTAAAAAAGAAAAGTTTTTCTCTATCTTCCTTATGATTACCTACCAACCTCCTTTTAATCTATTTTTTTCTTTTCCATTTTTAGTACTTATTTGTGATTTCGTGATCTCTCACCTAAACTACTTAATACATCTTCTAACTGATTTTTCAACTCATAAGGAACAGGAATTTGTCTCCTATGTCTTACTCTAGCGTACGTTCACTTATTTATTTATTTATTTATTTATTTTGGAGAGGTTTTTGCTAGGGCACATGTGCTCATCAGAAGACAGAGAGAGGCAGAGAGACAGAAAGTGAGAAATCACCCCCCAGGGAGGATGGCCACGCTGGTAATCCCTTCTCCTCCAATCTCCTCTTGGGATCTTTGGCATTCACGCATATGCACCCCACATGAGTTTAAGCCACTGGATCCAGGACTTGAACCATGGTTGACTATGTGGAAGTCCAGCAACATAGCCATTACACCAACTTCTGGTCCCACACATATTCACTTATTGACCACACTGTAGGAAACCCACATGTCACTTTGATCCGTTCCAGCATAAAGCAGGATACAGTTTTTCACAAGACTTTAGAAAGAGGAGGTCAGAAGGAAAATACAACCCAAAGTTCACTTAGAATGAATCCTAGATAAGAATTCCCAGGGTTCATAGGTCCAAACCTCTTCATGAACTTCTTTTATGGGCAACTTCAGGCCTATCTCCACCCCTTTCTAAGTCACAGGGCAATTTGCTTCATTCTCTGGGAGGACTTTCATGTACTTCTCTACACCTGTCCTCTATCATGACCATTTTAATCCTGTCACTGGTTTTCATGTTCTCTTGTTGGTGTGTTCCTTAGGGCTTTTTTTCTTCTTCCAAGTTTATTCATTTTATTAAGGGAGACAGAGAGAGGCATCCTCAATAGGGAATCCACAATCTTAATTCCACAAATTTCTCCAAAGCCCTGCAGCCAGCCAGTATTACAGTACACCGGTGAGCATCCTCTTGTTCAGGTAGATCTGGAACATGATTCCAAACCTTTCTCAGATGGCTCTAGCATTACACAGCAGCACCCCTACATCCTACGCCACCACAGCTGGGCCTGTAGGTCCTTCATCTGTGCTCTCTCCTTAGGTAATCTCACTAAGTACTGGGAATGTAAACACCCTATGTTCTCCTAAATTTGCCTCCAGCCATAACCACTTCCCTGAACTCCAAAACTGAATGGCAGGTAAGAATAAGAATCTCAAACAGCTCCTAAAACTGTGCCTTCCACTCAGTATTTCCCTTTGTGTTCATTGGCAACCAAATTTACCTACTTGTTCAGAGCAATAACATGGGAGTCATTCTCATATGCCACACATGAAACATCAGCAAGTCCTGTTAACAAATATATCCAAACCTGACCACTTCTTACTGCCCCGACTATTGTCCCTCTAGTTTATGCCCATGATGTCTTAGTCCTCTCATGTAGTCCCTTTGCTTCTGAGAGACATCTCTTCCCCCAAGTCGAATATCACTTCTTCATGTCCTCCCTGAATATCTAAAATATTTACCCTGCCCTTTCCTCTCCACCATCACTCTCTATTCCTTACTCTGCCTTTTTTTTTCTTTCTTTCTAGCACTTGTCATTACATAGCATGATTTGTAGTTGTTTAATTTGTGCTGTCACTTACTACCACCTTCTTCTTTCCTGTTGGTAGTCCCAGGAACTGAGAACAATACCAGTCTTGTATGATGCTCTATATCCATTATCTACAACAATGTCTGGCACATAGCAGAAGCTCAGTAACTTTTTTGAATGAATATTTACCTAAGAATATTTACCTAATTTCCATAAACAACTCTCAGACCTCCACGAAAACACGATGATAGTTGCTTTTTTAAAAAAAATGCATTTCCCTTTATTCATGATGCAGTATATGCACAAGCATGAGAGAGTGAGAGACAGAGACAGAGAGAGACAAGAGCATCCTCTATAGAATCTGGTCATATCATGACTCCTTCCTGCAGTTCTCCGTCCTGTCGGAGCTTGGGCACTCGCACACATGCCCAGCATGTTTTAGGCTGACCAGGTAGAAGATTCAAACCCATAATCACCATGTGGGGACCTGCTTCTCTTGAGCAGTGATTTACTGTTGCACCAGAGCTGACCCAAGTGATAGTTTCAAAGGCACTATGCAATACAGAGAAAATACAAGACAAATAACTTGTATCTATTCTTAAATAGACAGTAGATTCTATAGAAACAACTTTAAATGCACCATTATTACAAATATTGGGTCATCAGAAAAGTCATGAGTATTTTTCTATGTAATATTTATCATGATTTTCCCTATAATCCATTAGAATGCTTACCTTTTTAATGTAAAATATTTGCCTTAAGTTTAAGTTACTTAATATTCCTAAAAGTAATTGTCAGGTACTTGCTATGTTTATATAACTAATACACCCATTTAAGTGTTTTTCTCAGTCCCAAGAGGAGGAGGCTTCAGGGGTGTCCAGGCATTAAAATCTTTGGGGGCAGAAACTAATTATAATTTTGAGAAAAGTAATTTTCCACTACCTTCAACAATCAGTATTTCAGGTACTAAATTTAGCTTGACTTTAAACCATGTTTTTCTGTTTTATACATTTCTATTTTGTTTTTAAGCTGTGTTTGCTTTATTATTGGTGATCATCCTGTGATGGAGGTGGGGTGACAATAATAATTAAAGTATGGTTAACACTATCATACCATTTCCCTTGAATAAGAAATGAAAATATATATCCCCATGAATTGGGAATGGGCAGAAATTTCTCTTTTCAAGCCTACAAAAGTGTATCTCTTATACATTAATCTGTCTAGATAAAACAAAATAACCTGTATTGTCAGAGATTCATATATACCTGAAGAAAGTATGTCACAGTCACTTTTGAAATGACTGTTTAGAACAGCCAAATAAAGTTGCAAGTACTTCATTCTTTGTCAAAGACATAATAAAGGGGTTAGATAACTAATTTCAAATTCTCTAATCTAAACCAAACATCTGTATAGTTAGCAAGGTAAGTTTACTTTTTACTCAAATGAGAATTTATATTATAACACTTTTAGAAGTTTTAATTAAGAAAAAACATTTTGGTATCTAATGAAATGGTATCTAGTAGAAATATTACCTCAGATACTTCCCTATTATTAAATAATTCCTTACAATCTAAGGTATCTTCAAATGAAATGTGTAGCTATATATAAAACAAAGACTAGATTAGTTCTCTTTGCAAGGAGCCACCTACTAAATAATTTTACTAAGACAGTTCAGAAAGACTATGGACTAAAATCCTAGAGAAGATAGGGGAAGAAAAAATTTTGTTCCATTTTTCATAAATACACTTTATTTATTCTTCCATTTACTTAAATTCCACAAACATTTTATAATGCACTAGATCAGCACTGGAACATGTACTTTGATCTTTGCTTTAATGAGTGTATTTGTGTATGATGGCATTGGAGAAGACAGGTGAGACCGATGAGAATGTGCAGGAAAGATAAAGGATTTTTGTAATATCTGTATGATTTACTAATCCTGAGAAAGGAATAGCTAACTCAAGATCATAAATAATATGATTTTTTTATTGTCTTATACTTAGTGTTTAAGGGCAGCCCAAACTAAGGCTCATTTTAAAAATATAAGTCAGGTAGAATCTTTGCTTCCACTTTGTGAGTCCTCATGTAGTGATGAAAACCAGCATGCTTTACCTGAAATTTTGTTCTTGATGGATGATAAGAATATATAATTTTTTTAAATGGCAGAGTATGTTACATGTGTTTGAATAGCCATATATCTATCACTCTACAAATAATATATTTTTATTGCCTATGAGAATATTGAAAAATTTAAATGCACTTTCTGTTGTGGTATAAAAGTCATACAGTTCTATGCAGCAGTTGGCGTGATGGCTATGTCATGCTGGACTCCCATGTAGTCAACTGCAGTTCAAGTCCCGGACCCGGTGGCTTAAACTCACACCGGGCACATGTGCGTGCATGTCCAAGATCTCAAGAGAAGAATGGAGGAGAAAGGATTGTGGTGTGACCATCCCCCTGGTGGGTGATTTCTTGCTTTCTGTCTATCTCTCTCTGTCTTTCTGGCGAGCACATGTGCCCAATAGCAAAACAAAACAAAACAAAACAAAACCCTCTCCAAAACAAACAAACAAACAAACAAACAAAGGAAAAAAAGACCATAAAAGTGTTACAGACTAGGGACCAGCAGTTAGCGTAATGGCTATGTCGCTAGACTCCCATGTAGTAGACCGTGGTTTGAGTCCCGGACCTGGTGACTTAAACTCACGCCAGGCGTGTGTGCATGAGTGCCCAATACCCTGAGAGGAGAATGGAGGAGAAGGGATTGCTGTGTGGCTACTCCCCAGGGGGTGATTTCTCGCTTTCTGTCTTTCTGTCTCTCTCTGTCTTTCTGGCGAGTGCAAAAACCCTATGGCAAAAACCTCTCCAAAAAAGAAAAAAAAAAAAAAAGTCATGTAGTCTAATCCAATAAGCCATTATTACAAAGAATCTTTTATATGGATTGGTCCCATAGCATAGTAGTTAAGTGATGTGCATAGGGAGCCCATATGGCCAGCTACTGTTTAAACCCTGAGCAATCAGCTTGAAAAATATGCCAGGCACATGTATGTATGTGCCCCAAATTCTGATGGGATGGAGAAATGGAGGAAAAAGGATGTGGCATAACCATGCTTCAATGGAGAGTGCCTTTTCTCTCTCTCTCTCTATATATATATCTATCTCTGTCTTTGCCTACCTGGTGAGTTTATATGTTCTCTGGCAATAAAAAATCTTTTATATCTTATATTTTACTTTATGTATTTATTTATTTTAAAGATTTTTAAATTTAACTTTATTTTATTTATTAATTAATTTTAATTTGGCCAGAGAGGGACAGAATGAGAGAGAGAGAGGAAACGGACAAAGCAAGTCACCAGGTCTGGGACTCAAACTGCTGTCGGACATGTAGGAGTCTAGCACTTTTAATCACCATGCTTTCTCACTTTATCTTTCTTTTTCCTTCTCTCTCTCTCTGTCTCTCTGGTAAGCACATGTGCCCTACAGGGAAAAAAAAAAAAAACAGGAAAAGGAAAAATAAAAAACAGGGAGTTTAAGTGTTGGTTGGTGGTTGATGGTTGATAAAATGATGCATATGAAATAATTATTGCTTTAAGATGATATTTCTCTAAGATGCTATTTCATTAGCAAACAGATATAAATGATGTATGAGTAAACCTATCTGCAACAAACTAATAAACTAAAATAGCAATGATATAATGTAGGAAAAGATAAGAGTTATAGCAGGAGAATATATAAAGTGCTGTGGAAATGTCTGAAAAAGTGATTTTTAAATTTTTTTTTTATCATGGAAAAGAGGATATTGAAGCCGGATCTTGAAAAAAGACTTTAAGCTTGTGTGTGCCAGGAAAAGCACAGCAAAGGAAGGAGCTGAGAAAGGGGGATATTCAGGAAGAAACAGCATAAGCAAGGTATGGAAAGAGAGAATCAGAATGTGTATCAAGGAGATGGCAAGTAAATTGTCACTTAAGTAGAACATAAAGTTTTGTGAAGGAAGCAAATACAGAAGAGACTGGGAAAGGACTTTGATAATGTCTTGTATATCTTGTTAAAGAACTTGAATTTCTGACATTGATTTCTGACTACTCTTACCATCCCATACCTAGTCTGTCACAAAATCTATATGAAGTATTTCAGTGTGTCTGGCACATAGCAAAGACTTCTTAAAAGTAGGTGGTAAGGGAACCAGCAATTAGCGTAATGGCTACGTCGCTGGACTCCCACATAGTCAACTGTGGTTCGTGTCCCGGACCCGGTGGCTTAAAACTCACGCAGGGTGCGTGTGTGTGCGTGCCCAAGATCCCAAGAGGAGAATGGAGAAGAAGGGATTGCAGCGTGACCATCCCCCTGGGGGGTGATTTCTCACTTTCTGTCTCTATGTCTCTCTTTGTCTGTCTGGCGAGTGCATGCGCCCTATAGCGATCAACCTCTCAAAAAAAAAAGTAGGTGGTAACATTCTATTTTTTTTTTTAATGTGTGCTATAGGGCATACACACTTGCTGGAGAGATACAGTGAAAGAGAGAGAAAGCACATACATGCACCTGCATGTTTTTCATGCTCCTGGGTGTGAGACTCGAACCGTGCAATTGGTTATAGGGGATTTAGGTGTCTTAACCACCACACCACCTCAGTATTCTATTTCCTGACCTGGACAGTGTTTACACAGATATGCTCATTTTGTTGTACTTCATCAAGATGCACACTTATAATGTGAATGCTTTTCTATTTACAACTTATGCTTAAGAAAAGAATTTTTAAAAAGATTTAAGATGTAAAATAATGACAGGATTGGGATGATCTGACCTTTGGATGCAGTGTCACTTTCCACAAATTATTTACCATATCACTGATGACCTCCTAGAGAGTGTAGGTGTTTAGTGAGTTTACTTATCATCAAAGGCATACAAATTTACTTTTGATGTTAGAAAAAAGAATCACCATAAATTCTTCTCTCATCATAAAGTGAAAATAATTGTTTCAGCAAGATGCACATATTTACACTGTAGACATGCATGTTCCTAAAATACCTCCATGTCTCCTAATTTGAAAACTTTTGCTTCTTCGTAGCCTAATCTTCATCATTCTCTTTCCTCCTAACTCACTCTTACTTGATGCTCCATCCATATAAAACTACTTCTCCAAACATTCCATAGCATATCATGCTGATTCACATCTATAGTTTCTTATATCATGTCCACAGTGTCCCATACCCATCCCCTTTGCAACTCTATCCTGAACCATATCCACTTGGCAATCTATTTGTTTTTGAGTATAAGGTTCCAACTTTGACAAGGGTTTTTTTTTTTTTTAACTTTCCTAAACAAAATAAACTATTCCTTCCTTGTGCCTCTTCTACTTCATAGATACACCTCTACTATAAGCACTAGTCATGCTGAAATTCTTTGTTGTCATGTCTAATTTTCTGACTTGACTTTGTGATCTCAGTTGTTTAGAGGACAAGGAACCTCCTGGATGGAAAGACATTTTAAAAACTTACCTATTGGATCTTTTTTTAAAACCTACTTATTAGACTATGAATGTCTCAAGCAAGTGTATAGCAGGAACGGGCCCCATGAGAACTTCAACATGAAAGGGGGTCTGGAATAGTAACCTGGACTTATTAACATCAGAGTTTGAATAGAGATGGGAGGAAAGCCTAGTGCTGGTGCATTCTGTAGGTATAGCCAAAACTCTCCTCATTTGTCTCTCTGGCATGGTGGACCTACTTTGGATATTCTTTGTGTTAGGGCTGCTGAAAAACTGGTCATATTATTGTGAACTTTTATCATTTCAAAGCATTTGGAAGGAGGATTGGCTTTTAAATTAAGTTCCCATGTTTATGGGATCCTTTATTCAGTGGGAGAGGAGAGGCCTTGAGAGAAAAACATTGGTCTTCCTATTAAACTAACAGTTCTTCCTGATACAGTTTATTGAGAAAAATAAGAGTTGTAACCTTTCTAAACTTTAAACCAAAGAGTTAGGCCATACCAGTCACAGAATGGTCATTGGAGATTGTTTTTTTCATTTGAAGGGCAAGCCTAGATATATTCTTCAGGAAGATTACTCTGACAAAAACATAGGTAAGAATAGAGAGAGGAGGGCTATTTAGGAGGAGTGGTAAGACTTGTGGTTAGAGGTAATAGAACCCTAAACAACAGTAATTGAGAGGAAATTCACTGAGGGGAAAATAAGAGTTTAATCATTTGGAGAGAAGATTAGTAGATACTAGAAATGTATTAGATTTATAAGGCAGGAGAGGAGTTATTAGATTACAAATTAGTTATACCATGATTTATTAAGCTGGTAATGCATTTTTATTTACTTCTCTTCTATAAACTATTGTTGCATATAATGCTATATGAGTAGAAAGTAGCAGAAAAACAATGATTGCAAGTTAGCAGCAGGCATTCAAATAAAATCTGTATTCTTGGGCAACATAGTTATTTTATACCCTCTATGCTGATAATTTATAAAAATGATAAATTGTAGGCCAGCAGGTGGCGTGGTGGATAAGGGTGCTGGAATCCCACATGGCCAACTACACTTCAAGTCCTGGACCTAGCAGCTTGCTTTCTCACTTTTCCTCTCTTTCTCTCTTGTTCTGTCCCTCTCTGGTCAAATTTAAAGAAAGAGAGGGGGAGGGGGAAGAAAAGAAAAGAAAAGAGAAAAGAAAAAAAGAAAGGAAAGGAAAGAAAGAAGGGGGAGAGGGAGAGAGAAAGGAAGAAAGTAAGTTAGTTAAATAAAATAATTCTTTAAAAAGAAATGGTAAGTTGTGGGGCCAGCAGGTGGTATGGTGGTCAAGGATGCTAGACCTGGTGGCTTGCTTTCTCACTTTCCCTCTCTCTCTCACTCTCAGTCTATCCTTCTCTGGTCAAATTAAAATATAAATAAATACATAAAGGTAAATAAAAAAGAAAAAATGGTAAGTTGTATATAAGAATTCCAGTGTTGACCCAGCCACTGTGGCATAGTAGGAAGGAAGTACTCTGCAAGACTGGAAGCCATATGGCTGACCATGGGTTTGGACCTTCAGATTGGCCTGAAAATATTCTGGGCATACATATGGACATTCAGGATCCTGAGGAACTGAAGGGCTGGAAATCTTAGAAGTAATAAGAGTGCCCTCTGTAAGTTGTACAGGATCAAAAGAAGAATGAAAGAGATTTTTAGTTCTCATAGATTCTGCTACTAGTTCCAAACCTGGCAATTGGTAGACATTTGGAAAATATTTCTTCAGTGAATAAGTTATCAAAACAAGTGTGCTTAGTGCCTTATTTTGGGGAGTAGGGGCATTGAGTATAGTTATTCTAGGCACAAGAACAGTACAAGTTGTTACATAAAATAGTCATGTGTTGGATAATGACATTTCCATCAATGAGTGAATGCATATACCATGATGGTTCCATATGATATATTGGAGCTGAAAAATTCCTTTTGCCTAGTGACATTGTATCTATTATAACATCACAGTGCAACACATTACTCACATGTTTGTGATGATGCTGCTCTGCCAGAAAATAGCATAGCAGTTACAGCTATGTACAGTATGGTACCTCATACTTGGTGATGATAATGAATAACTATGTTACTGGTTCAGGTATTTACTGTATCATACCACTTATCACTATTTTAGAGTGTGTTCCTTCTACTTATTAAAAAAACGCTTAGTGCAAAACAGTATGTTGGAGCCAGCAGGTGGTATGGTGGTTAAGGCTCTGGACTCCTACATGGTTGACTGCAGTCTGAGTCTCAGACCTGGCAGTTTGAAATTCAGGCCAGGCACATGTGCACGTGTGCCCAAAATCCCACGAGGAAAATGGAGAAGGGACTGTGATATGGTCATCCCCTGGGTAATTTCTTACTTTCCCTCTCATTGTTTCTCTCTCTCTCTCTCTCTCTCTCTCTCTCTGTCCTTCTCCAGTGAGCACAGGCTCCCTATGGCAAAAACCTAACAAATAGAGAACAACAACAACAAAAACCCCAGCATGCCATGTCATGCCAGCAGCAGCCTCCTACATCTGTTTCCTATATCTCTTGATTGCATAATTTTCTCTTGTGCCTGATTTAATCTCATATAGACTTGTTTGTCATAGCCCTTCCAGTAGGACAATTATATGTTAGTGAATGACAGTGATATGATGATTCTGACCCTATGTAGGCCTAGGCCAATGTGTGTATTTGTATCTTAATTTTTAACAAAAAAGTTTATAAAATAAAATAATAAAATAAATTCATGATAGAGTATATGTGTATATATGAGAGAGAGAAGCAGAGGGAGAGAGAAGAGCCTTCCACAGGGCTCAGTCGTATCACGATCCCCTTCCAGTATCCTGGGCATGCATACATATACATGGGTTGTTTTCAGGGTGACCTGACCAGTGATTTGAACCAGGATAGGCATGTGGCTTCCAGCTTCATAGTATGGCACACTACTGACTATGTAACAGGTTGAACTAAAAATTAAATTTATTTTAAATTGAAAAGAGCTTATAGAATAAGGATATAAAGAAAAAATATTTTTGTTCATCTGTACCATGTGTTTGTGTTTTAAGCTAAGTGCTACTACAAAAAAGTAAAAAATTTTTAAAAATTGAAGAAATTATAGAGAAAAAATATACAGTAAGCTAAGGTCAATTTACTATTTTTAAAACAAATTTAGTGTTAGGGCTACCAGGTGGCATAGTGGTTAAGGAGTTAGACTCCCACATGGCTGATCACAGTTTGAGTCTTGGATTTGGTAACTTGAAAATCATGCTGGGTGAGTGTGCATACATGACCAAATTCCCAAGAGGAGAATGGAGGAGAAGGGACTACAGAATGGTCATCCCCCCTGAGGGATGATTTCTCACATTCCCTCTCACTGTCCCTCTCTCTCTGATGAGAGTATTTGTCCTATGGCAAAGGCCTTAAAAATAAATAAGTAAATTGACTGTAGCCTAAGATACAGTATTTATAAGTTCTTTGATAGTGTACAGTAATGTCCTAAGCCTTTACATTCACTCATCACTCACTCAGTGACTCACCCAGAGCACCTTCCTGAGTTGCAAGCTCCGTTTACAGAAAGTGTATTATATAGGTGTACTATTTTAAAAACATCTTTTATACAGTATTTTCCTATACTTTTTCTATGTTTAGATACATAAATAGTTACTATCGTGTTATATAGTTTCCGGTAAACACTGTTGCAAAATTTGTAGCCGAGGAGCAATAGGTTAAACTATATAGCTTAGGTGTATAGTAGGATATACCATCTAGTCTTTGTATGAAAACATTCCATGATACTTGCACATTGATGTATTTCTCATAACATATTCCCATTTGTAAGTAATGCATGACTACAGTATTTTATTGGTATAAGATTACATTTATTTTTTAGCTTCCTGAAAATCACGGAACTTAACTAAACAACATTTTAATCATAAGCAGTTAGGGCTTAAGCATTCAATTACTGAACTTTTTGGTGTGAAACAGGTAAACGGAGCAAAAATAAAGCATAATTTCTGAACTTCTAGTGAAGAGAAAAATAAAATTACTGGCTATTTGCAAGTAATTCAGTGAGCAAACTGACACCTAAATTTTATTTTTGATAAATAATTTGCTTTTCTATAAAAATTCATATAAAATAAATGAATGAAGGGCATGTAGTTAACACATTATTTTAGAACACATAGTTTTCTACATTTATCAATTATCCTCAAAATAGTCTTTTGTTAAACTATTTTGGCCTAAAACAGCCGCTGTACTCCCATACTTTGATTCCTACAAGTCAAAATCGTACATGCTGTTTATCTGAGTTGGTTGGTAAGTTACAGCCAATCATAGCAACTAAGCTTTAGTCAGTCACCAGCATCCTTCCTTTTTAACTGTGTAAATACAGACAAACTTTAGAATGTAACCGATGGTTTCTGTACCTCACTCTCTCACTTATATTTTGTATAGGACACTTTCCTTTTACTGAACACCTCAATTTTTCTGTTCTGCCAACCTAAGAGGACGAGTTGACCAAGAGGCTGGCTGGAATTGTCCAAAAGTTGGGGACAACAGCTGAGTTTAAATCATGTTAAGATTTGCTCTATTGGGACCAGCAGCTAATGTAATGGCTATGTCGCTGGACTCCCATGTGGTCGACTGCGGTTCAAGTCCTGGCGGCTTAAAACTCACGCTGGGCGCGTGTGTGTGCGTGCCCAAGATCCTGGGAGGAGAATGGAGGAGAAGGGATTGCGGCGTGGCCATCCCCCCTGGGGGGTGATTTCTCACTTTCTATCTCTCTGTCTGGCGCGCACACGCGTCCTATAGCAAAAACCTCTCCAAAAAAAGAAGAAAAAAAAAACAAAAACTAAAACTGGGGACCAGCAGTTGGCATAATGGCTATGTTGCTGGACTCCCATGTAGTTGTCCTGGACCTGGTCTCATGCCGGACATGTTTGCATGCGTGCCCAAGATCTGTAGAGGAGAATGGAGGAGAAGGGATTACAGTGTGGCCATCCCCCCTAGGGGGGGATTTCTTGCTTTCTATCTCTCTGTCTCTCTCTGTCTTCCTGGTGAGTGCAAGTGCTCTATAGTGAACACCTCTATAAAACAAAAACAAACCAAATTGTTTTTCTTGAAATTAAAAACTGCATTAAAAAATACCTATTTAATGACTACAGTAAGCTATATAGCCACAGCTATGTGCTACTTTATAGTATGTTCATATTACTCACTGAGGTTTATGTCTTAAGTCAGGCATATGTTCATAGATATGTATGTATCAGCTGTGCTTGCTATTGAAAGTTTTTAAATTAATTAAGACGTAATGATTCAATAAAATCTGAAAAAAAAAAAAGACATGGAAAACAACTGTAGATACCTGAGACAGTGTGGAAGTGGGGTTGGAAATGACAGAGGGCGAGAGATAGGGAATCAAGGGGGAGGAAAAATAAAATAAAGCAAAACGTATTAAAAACAAGAAATGGAAAATTATTTGTTGATTATAACATGTATGGTAACATCCTTTATTGAGCCAACATACAGTGTATTCTGGATAGAAAATCTTATTTTGTATAATGTATTAATGTACAGTGTGAATGAGTGTAAATAAATCAATTAAAAAGAAAAAAATGGAAGATAAAGGATTATAGCATGGCCATGCCCCCAGGTGATAATTGCTTGCTTTTTGTCTCTCCATCTCTGTTTCTTCAGGAAGCACATACACCTAATAGCAAAAACCTCTTTAAAAAATGGAAATTATAGGGACTGCCAGGTGGTGTGGTGGTTAAAGGCACTGGACTCCCACATGGCCAACTGTAGTTCAAGTCTCAGAACTGGTGGCTTGTCTTCTCTCTCTCTCCCTCTCTGATCAAATTAAAATAAATAAATAAAATTAAATAAAATAATTATTTAAAAAATGGAAATTATAAATGATGTGCATAATTATAATTTTCTGTTTTCTCTTACTAAATGGACTTCTCATTTATTTACTGAGAGACCAGAGGAAGGCATTGCTTATTATGCAGTTATGCAGTGATTGAAAAAGTAGACTGTAATGGATTGTTTGGAAGTTTTGTTTTTTTTTTTTTCTTTATTGAACTTTATTTTCGTTATCCATTTATTTATTTTAATTTGACCAGAGACAGACAGAATGAGAGAGAGAAAGAAGGTGAGAAAGCAAGCCGCTGGGTCCAGGACTCGAACTGCAGTCAGCCATGTGGGAGTCCAGCGCTCCTGACCACCACCCCACCTGCCAGCCCCTGTTTGGAAGTTTTTATACAACTTATAAACAAAATATGTAATAGAGAAAAAAAATCCCTTATTTGAAAAGTAAATAATATAAACCAGTCTTCTAAATATAAATTATCATGTAATATTTTGGATTCTAAGCTATAATTTTCAAATAATTGGAAAGTCCATTCATTTAAATTTTACTCAAAGACTAGGAAATATTATTTTATTAAATGTAGAAATTCAGGGTCAGTAGGTGGCATGGTGGTTAAGATGCTGGATCCCACATACCAACTGCACGGGTTGAGTCCAAGATCCAGTGGCATGAAAAACACAATGGGCATATGTGTGTGTGTGTGTGTGTGTGTGTGTGTGTGTGTGCCCAAAATCCTGGGAAAAGAAGGGATGGTAGCATGGCCATCCCCCTTACGGGTTTAATTTCTCACTTTCCCTTTTCCAAGTACATATGTCCTATAGCCAAAGGGGGAGGGGGAGAAAGAAAAGAAAAGGAAAGAAAAGAAAAGAAAAGAAAAGAAAAGAAAAGAAAAGAAAAGAAAAGAAAAGTTTTTATAAATTACAAGAATAGGACATGTTTTGATATTTAAAATCATATGCAACTGCTATGGGGATTATAAAATGATGCTGTCACTGTGGAAAACTGGAAGTTCCTCTATAGATTAAAAAATTGATAGCTTTGCTATATAAACCAGCAATTCCATACCTAGAGAAATAAAAGAAATAAAAATCTATGTTCAAAGAAAAATTTTTATATGAATGTTTATGGCAGCATTATTTATAATAGCCATAAAACAGAAATAATCCAAATGAATATCAGGTGACAAATTAGTAGATAATATATTCATACAAAGGAATGTTATTTGATGATAAAAATAATTGACATTCTGATATATATTCTATAACAAGGATTAAGCAAATTATGCTAAGTGAAATCATTCAGTCACAGAGAATCGCATATGATTCCATCCCTATGAAATGTCCAGGATAGGCAAATTCATAGAAACAAAAATATATTGGTGACTGCCTAGGGTCAAGAATGTGGGAGAGTTGAAGCAAAGTGGGAAGTAACTGCTGATATGTACAAGTCTTCCTTTTAGGTTGATAAAAATATTCTAATTTGAATTTTGGTGATGGTTATACAATTCTGTGAATATATTTTAAAATAATTGAAATGGTAAAAAAATAGAAATCTCTCAAAATTAGTAGGTTGTGTTAGTAATTATGTTTCTTCTAAAAGATTTGCACATTTGCTCAGGTTCAAGGATATTTAAATCTGGCATATTGATTGAGATAAAAAAAATATTTTTGTAATACTCCAGCTCTTCAGGATAGATATTATTCATAGTATTATTCATGTTGTATTTAGAAGAATTTTTAAAATTATTTACCCAATTTTATTTATCATTATTATTTTTTTTAATTTGCTAGAGAGTATGTGCTCTCACCAGAGACAGAGAGAGAGGGAAAGTGAAAAAGCAAGTCACTAGATCTTGAACTTGAACCGTGGTCAGCCATGTGGAAGTCCAGTGCCTCAACTGCCACACCACATGCTGGCCCCAAGAATTAAAATTTTGAACAAATTGATTACTATTTTTTACATCAAAGGAAAAGATTATCAGCTTTTAATAGGTCTCACTGAGTTTTTGAATGACAGAATCTGATCATCTGAAGAGTGATTTGCCAAGAAGCAAATAATTAGCATATACTATCTCTGGTTCCATAGCAGGGCTTCACAAAACAACAGAATGCCTTTGAATAGTTTAGAAAGGATTGTGCTCACTATGTATTTCTGTATTACAGATATTTCATTCCAAATAAAGAATATTGCACTGCTACAACATCAAAGAAGGGACTAAACAAAGATTTAGCAAAGATACTTGGCAGTCCATTGTGCCAGTGGATGGAAACATAAATCTCTATTCTGGCAGCTCTAGTTGTATACTTTCTAACCCAGGCTGAACATATGGACTCCTTACCAAACTGAACATCACATGACTGATGAAACTTCGACATAAACACAGTGTTATGTAGATGGATTCTTTTGGCAGCCTAATAATTTATGTCTTGAAAATTAAACATTCTTTTATGCAAAGACTGATTATATAAGTACATATGTATGATATTTAGAGACTGTCTTTTTTGAATATGCTGGACTCTGAGGAATTAGAAACACATAATAATACCTATTTATAAAAAACATACAAAGAAATACAGTATGTTCTTTAACCACTGTTATAGTACATCTCACCATATGTTATTTTCTTTCGTAATTTTAGCTCTTAAAATAGTACAAATCATTTAATCAAATACATAGTAATGTTAAAATTTAACTTTGCCCCCTCTCCGCCCCCTCCATGTATCTTTTTTTTTTTTTTTGAGAGATTTTCACTGTAGGGCACGTGCACTCGCCAGACAGACAGAGAGAGACATAGAGACAGAAAGCGAGAAATCACCCCCCAGGGGGGATGGTCATGCCACAATCCCTTCTCCTCCATTCTCCTCTTGGGATCTTGGGCACGTACGCACACGCGCCCGGCGTGAGTTTTAAGCCACCAGGTCCGGGATGCGAACTGCGGTTGACCACGTGGGAGTCCAGCGACATAGCCATTATGCTAACTGCTGGTTCCCTCTGTGTATCTTTTTATGCAAATAACTCTAAATGACTTAAAAGGGATCTTGATGCCAGACTTCTTTTTCCATCCTGAGGAGCTCTGATAAATCATCTCATATTTGGAGGGGAGCAAATGTTGGTTATTTTTCAGATTGTTGATATTATCCAGAATTATCTACAAAAGCAACTTTGAGGACTTTTCTGAAATCATGGAAGTTTATGCATTATTTACTAATGTCCTGAACTACAGCCCTCACTGAGGTCACAATTAGAAGTGACTAGATGGGAAGATTGTATTTCTTTTTAAAAACCCTCAAAACCAGCACAGTTGTTTGTGTGTAACTGTCAGGGTTTCTAGCTGCCAACAAATGAGATAAATTCTACTCGGCTAAGTGAAAAGGGAATCTATAAAATCAACAGAATGTTAGAGAACTCTGACTAGGCAAGAGGGCTAGAAAGCCTGGCTTAGAGGCTGCATAACTAAGAGCAAATGTACCCTGTAGCAAATTAAGAAATAATAATTAATAAAATTAAATAAACAATTTTTAAAAAGATTAGTGCCTCACCTCTCATCATTGATAAACTGCCTGCAAGATACTTTTGGCTATTGCGGGTTGATGTACCACAGATGACACTGCTGGTCTTTCTGAGAAACATCCCTGAACAAGACTGCTGGGACCTCAACTTTAAGCACCTCTGTACACTGGGCACCTCCACTACTGTTCTTATGAAAGTAGATTCCACAACACAAATCTCCCTCACTCTCAATTCAAGCATGATATGGTTGCATCTGACAGGTGGTGTTTTAAGTTCCATTTAGCTTCCAGCTTCTTTGTGG